AAATAAGATATTGGCGAGATAGGGGTTTTAAATGATTTTTGACGTGATTCGACGGGTCAAGTATGGGCGTGTATTGCTACTGGTTTCGAGCTTTTATTATAGTGACCGCATATATTTTTTATATGTTACTAGCTGACCTGGCAAACGTCGTTTTGCCATGTATATAATTTATAATAAAAATAAGGGTTGATCGTAGAGGGGTTGTATGTATTTTTTAATGCTGTATCATAAAAAAATACAAATTTATCTAAAAATTCAAAAAAAATTTTTTAGGGGTGGACTACTCTTAACATTTAGGGGGATGAAAAATAGATGTTGTCCGTTTCGGAGGTGTTTAAACACAAACACCGCGACACGAGAATTATATATATTAGATTTTTACTTAATGTTTTAAAGAAAAATCTTTTATAAAGGCTATATTATATAGCCATTAGCTCATATTAAGAGCAGTGTTGACCTAGTGGCTTCAGTACACTCATACTCATAGGTTCGATCCCCGCAGCAATGGACTTTCTGTCTATGTGCGCATTTAACATTCGCTCGAACTATCGTACAACGTTCGTGAGTAAATCGGCTTGCCTTAGACCCAACATATCGATAGAAGTCTGATCAGGAGGTTGATCACCTACTAGCCTATTAAAGTGACACATACTTTTCTTGGTAGACGGCTGAAATTGATACTACCGTCGCCATTTTGAAATGTCAGACTGACATTTCATAGCTCGTAAATCAACCATCATCTAATAAAAATCTTACTAAAATGTATTTATTTTTATTCCTTGCATTATTATACAATGGCAAAGTTAAAGTATCTTAAATTATAGATATACAAACCTCCTCCCCTTCAAACAATCACACTAACAGCAAACACAAACACGGACTGTGGATGGGTGTTTCGTTTTGCCTGTTTGTGTTCGTGTTGGGCAGTGTTCGGCATCGGTGTGGTTTATCTTGCCAGATCAAAGGATGTTTGCAAACAGTTTGCTACTATCCACAGTTTGGCAGCATCATATGCCGAGCTTGCGGAGCGGACTATTTACTTGCTACACTTTCGTTGGGCGCAAAGCTAAAAATGTCTGATGAACTGATTCTAATTTTAAGTAACTTTAAGTAAATTTAAAAAAACACGGCAAAGTAAAGCTCAAATAATAGGTCTAAAGCCTTGTACCTTTCTTGTATTTTAATCATCCACCATGTCTTTGCTTTCTTATTTTTCCTTTTTCTTTCTCTTGCTTTAATTTATAATAAAAATATGTCAACCCGAAAGTAATAGCTGCAACAAGCTCGTCGTCCGCCATGTTTGCCGATCGGAATGTTATGAACGTTCGCCAAGCTTGATGGCTGTTTGTGTTGGGTGATTGTGGTTGGTGTTTGGGACTTGCTTTTGTGGTGTTTTGACAAACAGCCAGCGTGTGGATGCCCCATATCATATCAGTTGTTCCTAAGTTTGTGTTATATTTGAGCCTAGCATTTTTTAGATACTAGTGTTTGATTAAGACATTTCAATAAATTATTAAGTGATGCAGACTTCAAGTTATTCCCCTTATAATGGTTAATTTTTATTTACTGGCAATACTAATATGACAGCTACGCTCTTAGGGAGCGTTCAAGTATTACGTAACGAGTTTTAGGAGGGGACTTACACCACATAATAGTAACTAAAAAGTCACTAGGTAGTCACGAAACGTTTTACTATACTCGAGTACAGTACTGTACTTGGGTACTGAAAAACGTTACGGCGAGTTACATGGGGGGGTGTCAAAAATTGCGTTACGTAATAATTGAACGCTCCCTTACCGGCCAAGAAAAGAAAGCACTGTAGATTGACAATCGATCATGAAACAGATACAGAAATCTGAGGCCCGAAAAAGGTAGCGCCACTATTTTGTTTTTAGCACTGCACAGAAATGTTACGAACAAATTTAAAAGTACAGTAAGCAGCAATAACACACCTATTTACTGAAGAGTAACACCTTTCACATATAGAAAGCCTATAATGAGAATAAGAGCCATTCGGGTTAATATCGAAAACGGTAAATTTAACTCTATCCAGGTCGGAGAAAACAATGTGGAACTTACGAAGTCTAGATTCTGTAAGGTTCGTCTATGCTGTTCTTTGATCATTTTCATTCTATGTAGACTTATCAATTAATATATCAAAACGATCCTTAATATTTACCGTACGTTATTAAACGAAATTAAAACAATCGTTCAAGTATTGGAGATTTACGCAATTTTTGGAGATTCATGACCCCCATTAAACGCGCCGTAACGTTTTTCTGTACCCAATAGTAAAACGTTTCGTGACCACCCAGTGACTCTATATTCCTAAAAGTTACCATTATGTGGTGAAAAGTACTGGAAAGTCGAAAATAATATTAACAATAACTGGTACATATTTGTATCCCATCCCGCATCGTAACGTTTTACAAGAGGAATTCTTTATTACTTTTGAGAATTACTCTTATAAGGATTTTAAAAACAATATGAGCGTTAAGGCCTGTATTCACTTTGATTAGTGCGAGTGAAAGTGATTAGTAATTGAGGATGATTGTGCATGTGTGTAGTGCAAGTAGTGTCCAATTCTTGTTTAGTGGCACTGAGTTAACTTAACAATTATTCAGTTGTCGATAGCTGTCGATCAGCAAGTTTGGACGAACATCGAGAAGCACGCTTGCAATTGGAAGAAGTACTGAAAGAAGTATTAAACGCAGTGCTATCTGAAACCGAACAAGTATTGGAAGCTGAACTTGCAAGACCAAGAAAAGTATGGGTTCGAAAATGCATTAATGCATTCATGGCGCAAGCTAACAAGTCTTTAAGAAATTGGCTGCTGAAGATACGACGGAATATAACTTGGCTCTCAGGTTGACCGGAGAGTCCTGCTGCCTGTCCAGACATGTTTTGGCAGTCACGCTGCGAGTGAGGGGGAAGTGAGGACGCCCGCGACGTCACTATTCGCAGTTCACTCGCAAAAAAATAGCACACGCTTCTAATCTCTTTACTACGCAGCCAACTAATCACCTGCACTAATCAGTCGCTGTCCACACTTGTTTTCTCCTAATCACTAATCACCTAAACTAATCACTAATCAAAGTGAATACAGGTACAACCTTTAGGTACGTTCGGTAGCGGAGAGATGTTGAAATGACTGTCAACTGTCTTTAATCGTTTAAAATAAGAGAAAACGTACAATTGTACAGTATTTCGACGCTGGACTAAAACACTGTAACAGACTTACTTATCTTAGAATTAACACATCTTTTACCTATAGTTAGTAGTTTTACCTATTGTTCACGGAAACGAGAATGTTATATTACAACTAGCTGACCGGGCAAACGTCGTTTTGCCATGTATTATATCATTTATAATAAAATAGGAGTTGATCGTAGAGGGGTGAAAGTTAGGGGTTGTATGTATTTTTTAATGCTGTATCAGAAAATACTATCTAAAAATAATATAAAATATTTAGGGGTGGACTGGACTACCCTTAGCATTTAGGGGGATGAAAAATAGTTGTTGTCCGATTCTCAGACATACCCAATATGCACACAAAAGTTCATGAGAATCGGTCGAGCCGTTTTGGAGGAGTTTAACCACAAACACCGCGACATGAGAATTTTATATATTAGACTAGCTGACCGGGCAAACATCGTTTTGCCATATATATCATTTATAATAAAAAAATAGGGGTTGATCGTAGAGGGGTAAAAGTTAGAGGTTTGTATGTATTTTTTAATGCTGTATCATAAAAAAATAAAAACAGAAAAAAATATCTAAAAATAAAAAAAAAATATGTAGGGGCAGACTACCCTTAACATTTAGGGGGATGAAAAATAAATGTTGTCCGATTCTCAGACATATCCAATAATCAATATGCACACAAAATTTAATGAGAATCGGTCGAGCCGTTTTGGAGGATGGCAACGAAAACTGTGACACGAGAATTTTATATATTAGATTTATCAATGTATGAAAATTTTAAGGGCTCATTTGTTATTAGCAAAACTGAAGTTTTACAATTTATTGGCTACAAGTGTAAGATGATTGTTAACTAATATGTAACTTAACTAACGTTAGGTTACATAACTCTTGTCTAATTTATTTATTTCGTAATCCTACAGCTAACATAAATTATACATAACCATTATACTAAAGAATGCATATTGGAATACATGAACAAAAAGGTTCATACATTTACGAAAGGAAAAAAATCAATAAAATTATTAAATACAATTAACTAAGTAATACCTATTTGACTGTGTTGTGTACTTGGTTTTGGTTCAGTTAAAAAACAATGAGATTTATAAAACTTTTTTACTCTGGCGTAATCATTCCTTTTGCTGTGGATTTGACTTCTAAGTATTTAAAAAAGGGCGTACTGATCTCAATGGCTGGCGATAGTAAAATTATTCATGCGTAATTCATCTGAGTAGATTAATATCAACATAACATATCAACGTATAACTATGGTATAATCGAATGATCTCCAAAAATTTGCTCCAGGTGAGGCTCGAACTCACAACCCCGGCATCGCTCACGGCCACTGCCCTATAAGTACCGTGCGCTAACCAATTGCGCCACTGGAGCGATGATGAGACAACCAAATTTTGACATAGTAATCAATGTATGATAACTACCGTCCATTTGGAATTTTTTTCCTCTCTCATAAAATTAAGCAATCTTAAGCTGGCGGTAAAAAAAAGTAGATAGAAGAAATAGAAACCCGTGGCAGCAGGAGCCATAGGCACAGTTAGTTGGAAAAAGCTGGAGGAGGCCTTTACCCGTGAAGGGGTTCCGATCGACGGTACTGAAGGTAGCTAGGTAAAGGATAACAATTTAAAAAATAATAATAAAAATCCTAGCTGCATATTATAATTTGTTTTTGTCATGATTGGAAATAAAACGGGATTTATTATTATTATTAATATGCTGGCGGTCGTGTAATCCTGGTTGCGTTAAATGCGAAAAGGAAATCTGACACGGCCATAGACCCGAAAATGCGACCAGGTACAATATTCACCTATTTGCCTATAAATCATTGACTATTCTCAGTCAATGGCTGACAATGCACCCACATGGGTAAATGTGGTAGCTTTCCTGTAGGTTCGCTTGTCAATAAGTTAAAAAAGATGTTATCAAACAGGCATGGTCTCAAAAGATTGAAATGGCATTTTTAGATACATATAATAATGTTTTACCTAGTTGAAATGAGTACACAATTTTTGAGAAAAAACAGCTACAGACGGTGAAAAAATCTCCTTATTGTATAAGATCTGTTAGATTAATAAATAAAAATAATATTATACTACCCACATAAGACAAATATTGAGTATTTAAAATACTCTTACCCTAGTAATAATAATATTAAAAAATGCAAGGTTTTAGTCTACACGCTCTAAAAATTAAAACGCCTGGTAGATAGTTCCGGTGACCCCAGAGCTGGTGCTGGTGCTATATTAAACGCTCTTCGGCTGCGCCTTTTGTGCTTGGAAGGGAATCATTATTTAAGTTTGTGTTAGATGTAAAATTTTGTACTTCTTTTCTTATCTTAAATATTAACGTAATTGTTTCTCTTGTTACAGAAGAACACAATGGACCATTGATTGTTGAAAAAAATAGTGAATTTGTAAAGTGCTTCAAAATGGATGTCAAATCTCATCTCCTGTTAGTGGCTGGCGTGTTTTTAAGCGGTAAGTGGTTTGTGTTTTTATACAGCCTTGCGATTCTGTAACTCACTTTTCGAACTCACACAGCGGTTTTCGCATCAGCGGGCGCTCTCAAATGCGTCATTTTAAGATTTGGCATTCTGAAAAGGTGGCAGCTTGTAGTTTATTGTTTATCAGAATGCCAAATCGTGAGTTACAGAATCGCAGGGCTGAACAGTGGTTAAATGGGCAGGAGGTTCACATACCGTCGGCAAGTGTGTTGCCGGTTTGAAAATTGGTACGTCCTTTTCTTGAAGGACCTTAACTGGAATTGGTACGTAAATACTGAGCAGGGTAACTGGTTCCACATAATGGTGGCACGTGGCAAAAATTGCCTCAGTTGTCGGCTACGTACGTCGATGTGATCGGGGAGGAATTTCGAATTCTGCCTTGACGTCCGATGATAATTATGTCATAAAAACAAACAATTTTTAACCGACTTAGATTAATGAGTATGACATGTTGAATTGGATATTTCAGTATCATCTTTTTCAGGCTTTCATGTGTACCAAATGGTAAAAATTTCGAGAGTGTAATTCGGTCAAATTTCTCGGACTCTACATGTTATATCGTTTACGAGTCAAGGCTGTAGATTTTGCTCACTCAGGCTTTCTTTTTTATAAGCGTGACAATTACTTAAATCATCAGAGTTACACCACCAGAGTATAGCCTTCTTCAGCAGTATAAACATAGCATAGCATTTAATTTAGCATTAACTATTAATAAACCTTTTATTTCCAAAAATGTTACAATTAATCTAAATATGTATTAAGCTTCCTACCCGTTTGCCTCCTGTTATAGATAAAGTAAAGATCACTGTACCAATGCTAACTACAAACTAGTCAAACTCATACATTTAATTGTCAATTAAAAATAATAATTACTTTAATTTATGACAAACATAGTATTTGAATCAACCACTGAGCTATAAAGATCATAGCTGTTTTTTGGTTCCTTTTCCTGAAAAACCATTTACCTGTTTATATATTTAGACATTGTTAGTTGACATTAACATACTTTGAATTAGGAGTTTAATAAAGAAATATTAAAAAGTTTTTTTTATTAACGAATTTATGGGCTCTGTGACATATAATGACAACGACAGTTGACAGTAGCGCCATTGCTCTGACATATACATTACAATTAAAAAAAAACTTCCTACTTACGATACGATAAAACAAATTACAATTGATTTATTTTAATGATTGTAATATGACAAAATGATTGCGAAACGAGATAACCCAATTCCGAAACTCGTCTATATGCAAATTATTCTTATATTCAATCAATACTGGACGTTAGCAAAAGCGTAGTTTATAAGATCTAAGGGATTTAGAAACGAGGCTACCATCAATCATGTCCCTGATTTTGACCTACGAAGGTCACTGAGTCACTCTGACTAAGCAGATATTGAGGAAATTGTTTTGTTTTACTATATTATTACTACCTTTTTTAGCTACGTTCTAATTAATTTAAAATTATTTTTCTTTCATCATAGTTTAAGTAATAACTTGGAGAAATAGAAAAATTAACATAAAAAAATATTTTTAATGCTGGCAATTAAAATGTCTGTTATTTGAAAGATAGATTTAATATGGAAATATTAAGACGAATGAGTTAATTTACTAACTAGAAACAAAGAACTACGGCTTTACAGATAGAGAATTAGAGAGCCCCTACAGACAGAGAACTAGAGAAGAGGACTAGAGAATTAAAGAGCCTCATAGACTTTTGGTTTCCCTTGTTTATGGATAAATTTATTATAATATATTTCGTTGTTTAAATTAAGACATAAATTATTCAATTATTTTATCTGAGCACAATCAACATTCAATAAACATGATTAACATCAATGATCTATAGATCGTGATCGACGTCGCGATGCCAATAACAGTTAATATGACAATTCGATTAATGGATACTATTGATCCTTGTTAAATTTGACCTTCGAATCGTGAATCATTAATTATAGGTCACTCACTTGTGTCTCGAATAATAATAAAAGTTTATTCATGTCAGAAATATTATGGTTGTGACAAATTTGATCCACCGCTAAACCCCACATTGGAGAGTGTGGGGTTTGTGTAGTGGATAACTTTTTATTTTTGAAGTGAAACTTCTTTAGGCGCTTGAGGGTAAAATTTTTACGGAACGTTACAAAAATGTGCTTTGTCTCGGCGTTTTTTTCGCCAAAAAGAAAAGGGGGAGAGCGATTGAGACCGATTGAGAGGACGAATTACCTTATAGAAATTATATTTTTAAAATTAAAATTTTGTAAAGATAATTTATGAAATATTAGTATTTTATATTTTATAAATTAAAATGCCACGTGTTTTAATTATCGAAGATTTTTTTTTTATGTGAATCATCTATAGCCTTACGTAAAACCGATTTCTGGCGTGGTGACGCATGCCGTGGCGACGCGTCGCCCCTCTATATGATGGTATATATATATACAGTCTATATGCAGTAGTGTGTACGGTGTGTGTATTTCAAAGTTATTTAATTTAGATTAATTTGAAATAAATTCGTAAATTTTTGTATTCAATGAAAATAATGTTTATTCAATAAATAGTCATCGTTATCTGAAAAAAAATCGTAATATTTTATTTTATCATTATGACATAGTTAGTTCCTATCACAATCTGTTCTTTTCTGCATATTACTTTTACAAAATAATGTCGATGTTTCACATCTGCCAGGCGTCCCGTGACGGCTCACATTTTTATAATTTATATTAATCTTCGACACTTAATATTTTAATGACATATTAAATTCCTAACATATTTACCTTTTTCCCTCCCTCCAAGTCTCGGAAATCTAAAGTTTTAGATTAGTATAAATATGAACAAGACTTAAAACTTAGTTTGCCAAAGAAGTTTCACTTCTGACATGTGTACTTTGGACGCACGCATTTTTTTTTTTTCTTTGCGTATTTTTAATCAGCCCTAAGAATCTGTAATGTGGGGCTGTCAAGTGGAGTGGCTTCTTCTTGGAAGCATTCAATCATCTTCTGCCTAGACCTACTGCCGGTCTTGAAGCTCTAGAATATGGTGACGTTTTAATTGTCTCACATACTGTTCCATGGTTATTGCAAATAGCCGCTGGAAAAAAAACGCAATTTACATTTCATTATTTCGCTTATATTCAATTGTTGTACGCGAGTGGTTAATATAGAGTAAAAATTAAATCCTCTATTATTTTAAACACCCCGATGACCCAGGAACCGTATACGAACTTTTTCAGAACAGCGTACATTCCAAAACGATAATTGATTAGACTTTTCCGTGCTACATATTTAAGAGAACGAAATATCAAAGCGAAACAAATGAATTCGAGTAAGGCCTTAGATACAGTCGGTAATCGTATAACAGTTCTTTAGTTAGCAATTAAAAACATTTAAAAAATTGAACATTTTCCATTAATTAACCCAGATTCGAAGGTATTCAATAAACCTGTCAAAGCATACTGTTAATATTTTTACACTTAACATAGTAACACGTGCGCGAGTGTGTGATACATTGGGCCTGTTTTTGCTCGGTTAGCGGCACGTGTGTACAGGGTGATCAAACTTAAAAAAAAATTTTGTTTCGACAGACGCTTGGCCACACCTGTTGTTGAAGAGATGTGGCCTATTGGAGGGCAAGCCTGTCTATGCCAATTTAACCGCAGTTGAAATGATTGATGATCCAAATCGTGCAGTGCGGGGCACCTGTGGTAGTCGACGAAGGGGAGGAGCGTGTTTTGAGCGGGATGACGGGATCAGGTTGTGTGGACTACACATGGAGAGTTTACAGAAGACTGCCAGGCTGGCAACTGAACAGAATCAATATTTCACTGATTTCACTGTTCATGCTGTTGTTTAAAAAAATACATCTAATCTTGATAATTATTTACAAACTTGATGCATATCACATAAATATTTATTAGATTCATTTATTCTCGGTGAGAAAATTATCAAAGAAACGGATCCATAGACAAGACTACTAGTTTTTGTTTAATTTTTGTGTCTATAGGTACATTGTTTTTATCTCCCCGATGCTTGTGGTGCGCGACCTTATTTTAAGAAGACTCGCGAGAGGACCGGCGTAGCCACTTCTTCACCAATATTTGTAATATATATTCAGTCCAAATCTGTTATAACGACATCGAAAGGACTACTCATATTTGGTCGTAAGAACCGATAGTCGTAACACCCAATTACGTTGTTATTAAGTACCTAATACAATATAATTCAGCCGGGACCTTTGATTTTGGTCAATATAACCGGTATGTTGTTCTAAATGATGTCGTCTTAAACAGTTTAGACTGGATATATATTAAAAATTTATTTATTTGTTTATTATATATATATTTATATTACTATTTGTATATATTCATAAGCGAGTCCCGTACCTACGCTTTTGTTGCAGTGAGTGACGACTTTTTCAATTCAATTGCATCTTTTGAAACTGTCAAAAATATAGTTTGCGCTGCAATTTGTCGATGTTCAATTACATTTATATTTTGCGATTGTAAAATGTGAAATATTCGAAAACTGAGATATTCTTATTGCATAACCATGTCTGACATGTGTGAATTTAAGCTGAAAATAATTTAGGAACACGCTGTACATAAACAAAAACTCGTAACATCATTATCTCAACGCTGGCCTACATTGGTTTATCCTTACTGTACACGCAAATGTTTAAATAAATACTCCACAATTACTCTACAATACGAAGATTTTATTTTGTTATTATTTTCGTAAATTTTTAACGTCTCCGAGAATTCCGTTTGTTTCACAGCCTTTTCCTTAAATTTATTTATTTACAGAAATGCATACATTCTCCTTACAGTAATGTACTAATATGTATGTGTCGCAAAAAACGCCAAAAAGGCTTGGGAGACGGCAAAGTGATTATGCTCGAACTCCAACTTTGGCACTGGATTGGGCAACTCGGAAGTTGGGCTCGCAGAGGCGCAGCAGACGCGTCTGTGTTTAAGGACGGACTGAGGGTTTGAGGGAAACTGTTCCGTGCCTCAGCAGAGCAGATGGGGCTGTATGTTTTAGTGGGTACACATTTTTCAATCGCAAAAAAATGCCTTAAGTTACTAATTATAAAAACAATTAATATTCATGAGTTGAAATTAGTTTTGTTTCATCTTTTTAACATTTATCTATACATCAAAATATGCATGAGATTTATCTGTTTCGCTAAAGATAAATCTATCAACGTGTTGTCAAACCAGTCGGTCGATTGATATCGCTTGAATATAAATTATTTTAATGTCTAATCAGTCCAAGCAAGTTCATTTATCTTAGATCATGACTATCATAATAATGTATGGCCACTGTTGCGTTAAATGAAACGTCAGTTTTGACACAAGTCAACTGTCATTTAAGCTTTTCTACACACATTGTTGAGAATCATTACCGGAAGAGTTATAGCGCCACGGGATTATTATTATTACTCCGTATGTATTTATAATATTTAAATAGTATACTAGTGGACTTGACAGATGTTGTCCTGTACCTTAAATACAATAAAAATCTAATTGTAAATCTTAACTCCCACACAAAACTGCGATGCGATCATGGAATTTCTGCGATACGATTTAGTGCGACGAACCGTTTGGTAGGGCGACCATTCCTTCGTAGTCAGCCGTACTGGAGTGTTGACGCGTAAGATGGATCAAAAAGATAATTGCACTCTGTTATTGTTAAATAGATATATAAAAAGAAGATTACTAGGTTCATCCATTTAAATTACGAATTATGAACTCTGATACATAACGCTCTCCACGCTCTTCCCACGCCGTCTTGCTTAATAAATTTATTTTTATAATGTTCATCACTTGTGTAAGACTCTCAATTAAAAATATTAAAAAATCCAACTTCGCATTTTTATAAACAGAAGAAGGCAGGCGCCGCACGTCTTTCTCTAATGGATGTCTCTAGAGCGGATCAAAATATGGCGTCCCCAAGGATGACGTAATATCGCAAGAATGTGGATCTGATTTCGCGAAGCAGGATCGGGCAAATCTATCGAATGATGTTCGATGCGGTCAAATTCGCAGTCGGTCGTTGGGAGCTCTTAATCATAATTGAATCCAAAAAAATCATCAAAATCGGTGCAATTGTTTCAAATTGAATTACACGCACATACGATTTATACATCTATAGTTCTATACTAATATTATAAAGAGGAAAGATTTGTATGTAATTGTTGTAAAGAAATGGTTAAAAAGTACTGGACCTATTTTAAAAATTCTTAAACCATTTGAATGTGCTACATCATCACTGATTAATATAAGCATTTCAATGGAAAAGAAAAAATAAGGACGGTCTACTAAAACTACAAATGTTACCAAGGTGTAAAAAAGAGTGGCTTATATGTACGCGCGTAAGAAGTTATACTACTTTGGCTTCCTTTATTTTTTTATATATTAAATAATTAATAATAAATATTTAACGGTAATAATTTAATATTTAGAACATATATTATTCAATTATTAATTAATATTAATAATAATAATAATAATTATTATTATTATATTATTCCTTCAATTTAATAATTTGGTATGTTTCATAACCTTTTAACTAAGTAACAATAGGTCTTTATGAAAAAGCATTGCTAAATTTCTTTAAAAAAATAATTAAAACTCCTTTATTTGTTTAAAAGGTACTACAAAGGTCATTATGGTCATTCTGATAATTTTGTGTCCGGTGCGCGCGTATTGAAAATTTCACTCTTGATCAATTTTCATAAGCGTCTAAAGAAGTATAACTTCAAAAATGCTTATAAAATATCTTTCATCGCATGCGCGCCTGTGAAAACTATTGATGGATTGATGATATTTAAACATTTGAAACGGTCCGCTTGTATAGTAACAACATTTATTTATTTATAGCTTAGGTGTCGATATTTCAACTAAAAATATTTATTATCTTGATAAAACTACTAGTGGACCCCACAGACGTTGTCCTGCTATGATATTTAAAGCGATTAGGATATTAAGCAAAGTATGAAAGTACCGACTGCAGTGCCATCTGCCGGGCAAAATCGTGAATCGAAACCATTCCCAGATCCCCTTGAACACACACAAAAATTTCATCAAAATCGGTCCAGTCGTTTGAGAGGAGTTCAGTCACATACACACTCACAGAGAAATATATATATTAAGACTAGTGGACCCCACAGACGTTGTCCTGCATGATACAAAGCGAAGATATTAAGCCAAGAGTATGAAAGTACCGACTGCAGTGCCATCTGCCGGGCTGATTTGTGAATCTAAACCATTCCCTTATTCCTTGAGCACACACAAAAAATTTCATCAAAATCGGTCCAGTCTTAGAGAGGAGTTCAGATCACAAAACGCACAGAATAAATATATATATTAAGATTCATATGTCGTACAATGTCGGCTAAAATTTGTTTTCCTTCAACTTCGATTTTTTCATAAGAGTAACCGGGAACCGGGTTCGAGGGAGTCTATGCTTATATAAATACTCCACTTTTGAACATTGACAGACTATCGCATGCTTAACATCATCATGTAATCAGTCATTTTACGATTTGGCATCTGAAAAGGTGGAGCTCGAGTTTATTGTTTACAGTGCAAATCATAAAATGACTGCTTCGCGACGGATTTGGGCGAGCGACCGCCGATTGAAACCGCTTGACTGAGTTCGAAAAAGTGAGTCGACACTGGGCAATAAAGACATGTTGACGCTTTATAGATAGTAGTACCGGTGAGCTCAGGGACGAAACTTATTAAATTTGTTTTATTTTTCTTTTTATTAATTTATAATTATTCTTATTATTACTAAGTAGGATAAGAAAATTTTAAATACTGTTATTTTATTGTTATATAATAAACAATTAATTTTTTATATAATTACCAGAAAACCTTTTCTAATTACATTTTTAAATCACTGTATACGCTTAACAAATGTATCGCTCTTCGGCGAAGAGTCGAGAAAACTGGTGCAAGACTAAGCCGGAAATGGGACGCTTAACGCCGGACTATGCGAGTCGACACTGAAAGTAAAAGATACTTAGTATATACTAGCTGACCCGGCAAACGTTATTTTGCCATTAATCAAATAGGGGTTGATCGTAGAGGAGTGAAAATAAGTAAGGGTTGTATGTATTTTTGTATGCTGTATATGTAAAAAAGAACAACAAAATTTTTTTCAAAAAAATCGGTTGATCCATTTCGGCGGAATTGTCAGATTCACAGACCTAACCGATATGCACACGAAAATTTCACGAAAATCGGTTTGGGCCTTTCAGGTTTTTAATTAGACGTCAAACACGAGAATTTTATATATTAGGTTTTTAATAAGACGTCAAAGGACGCTTAAAATTTAACTGCACTAAATATTGGGTTGAGATTACGGTAAACTCTTTACGGTATAAAGCTCCCGCTTTCGCGGAATTCGTACAAATTACACATTCAAGTGCGTACATGAAATAAAAAGTGCAGTTAAAGCACGTATAAATCACTCTATAGCCATTTAGAAGCAACACAATCTTGATGAGACTCACCAGAACTTCGTAGGGATTTTACTTTAATCAAATTTGGTTTGAAGAATAACGAAACGCAAGGCGCATAAATTCAAAGCCTTTTATACAATTAAACAATAAAGCTTTCTATAAATTTGACGACTATTTAAATGATTGTAATCCTTGGGATTGATTTGCTCCAGTTCAAACAATTTGTATGACTCAAAACTTGGCGATTAAAAAGAGTGGCGGAAAGTTTCTTGCCAGTTCTTCTTGCCCGCTCTACGCCCTTGACTTCCGAACAAGTAGTAAATGTAAATCTTATTTATTTGAAAACCTTTAGTTGCCACGAAAGCAAATAATAGAATACAAAA